TGTAATGTTGAGGCCAAGATAAGTTTTTTGTATGTTGTAATTTAGTGGTGTCTAAATAGAAATTGTGTGTAACCTGATTTCTGTATTGTTTCTGAAAGATCATTATCTTAGTCTTTGCTGTGTTTACTATCAGGGCCCAGGTCTGACAAAATCTCTGCAGGAGATTAAGGTGCTGCTGCAAACCTTCTTTAGTAGGTGAAAGCAACACTAAGTCATCTGCATATAGCAGACCTCTGATCTCTGTGTCGTTCAGGGTGAGGCCAGGTGCCTTGGAACACTCTAGTTGGTTCGCTAATTCATTGATATATAGATTGAAGAGAACTGGACTGAGATTGCATCCCTGCCTCACTCCCCGGCCCGTGGGAGAAGAACGCTGTTTGTTTGTTTGTTTCCAATCTTTACGGCACATTCACTTTTTGTATACATGTTCTTAATCAGATCATATGTTTTTCCTCCAATGCCACTTTCAAGTAGCCTATAGAAAAGGCCCTCGTGCCAGATGGAATCAAAGGCTTTTTTGAAGTCAACAAAACATGCATATACCTTTCTTTTCTTAATTTTTAATTCTTGATCCATTAAAGTCTGGAGGATAAATATATGGTCCGTTGTGCGGCAATTTGGCAAGGAACCAATTTGGCATTTATGCAGAATATTGTGGTCATCAAAAAAGTTGACAATGATGTTGCAGACAATGATGTTGCAGAATATTTTTCCCAGGTTACTGGAGACACATATTCCTGTGTAGTTATTTGGATCATATTTATTTCCAGATTTATGAATTGGGGTTATTAAACCTTTGTTCCAGATGTCTGGAAAAGCTCCAGTTGACAGAATAGTATTGAATAGTTTTAGTATAGCCAATCTGATTTTATGGTCTGAGTATTTGATCATTTCGTTGAGGATTCCATCAATACAACAAGCCTTTTTTCCTTTCAGGGACTGGATGACTTCTGTTAATTCTTGTTCTGTTACTGGGTAATCTAGAGGGTTTTGGTTGTTTTTTATCACCTCCTCCAGAGTTTTCCATTTTGTGAATATCTTGTACTGATCATAATGTTTTGTAATATTACTGTATAATTCACTAAAGTGATTAATCCAAGTATTTCCATCTTGGATCGCCAACTCATCCTGCTGGGTTTTGTTTAGGTTGTTCCATTTCTCCCAGAACTGGTTGGATTCGAGGGATTCCTCAATTTCACAGAGCTGGTTCTTGCTGTGTTGTTCTTTCTTTGTTTTTAGGGTGTACTTGTATTGTTTCAGAGTGGCCTCATATTGACAGCGTATGTTGTGGTTATCTGGGTCTCTATGCTTTTCATTTGATAATTTCCTTAAAGTTTTCCTTAGGTTTTTGCATTCAGTGTCAAACCATTTGTTATTGTTTTGTTGAGATTTTGGTTTGGAGGCTTTCAAATTAGACAATAGAGCCAAATGATGAAAAATTGAATTGATCTTGTCCACAGCAGAATTTACACCAGAATTATTATGGGGAAATGTTTCAGTTAGAAATAAATTAGTTAAATCATATATGTTTTGATTTTCCAGTGCCTTTTGATACGCCCCCATGCTGTCAGGTGTCCATCTGTATGAGTATGTGCTGTTAAACAGTTCACAGGCACTAGGGGCTCCAGAGTTAGACTGGGCCCTTTTCAGATAGATTGTGATTTTGCTGTGGTCTGAGAGGGGTGTGAGGGGGCTGACTGTGAAAGCTCTGAGAGACATTGGATCTAGATCTGTAATGAAATAATCTACCGTACTACTGCCAAGAGCTGAGCTGTAAGTGTAGCGACCCAGAGAGTCCCCTCGTAGCCTGCCGTTGACTATGTACAGACCTAGTGTACAGCAGAGCTGTAAAAGCTGCATACCGCTTGTATTAGTAAGCTTGTCAAAGCTCTTTCTAGTAGGACATTCAGGGAGGGGGAAGCAGGTGCTTCCAGGTAAGTGTTTGTCTCCCTGGGTGTTCATAGTGTCAGCTCTTTCCCCTGTTTGAGCGTTCAAGATGTCAGAGTCTTTTAAGTCTCTATTAAAATCTGAATTTCTGCTCTTTAAAACAAAAGCTGATGATCTCAGACCTTGAATGTTCCAACATGTTACTGTAAACGATTTCATCTCTAAGTGTGATCCGTTCAAAAATTAGACAAACACCTTAAACGAAAAATAATAAGAAACTAGATATTAAAAAATAATAATGGTAATAAATGAAAAGTGTAAAAAGACGAAAAGAGGTAAATTAATAAGATATTAAACTTTGAGTGACATTTTAGAGTGTATCGTGTGAAATACTGTTAAGAATTGTCCTTATATTACTATTCATTTAAAATGATATACAACATGTTAAACTATTAATTATTGTGGTGTCTCTGCTCTTCCACCATGTAGCTACATGAGGCGAGAGCAGAGCAGGTTTAGCATGTGTAATATTTCTATGAGTTCACCAGAGGGGGGTGGGGCTGTGGTTCTTCTCACCACTGCAGCATAGTTCAGCCCAATAGGCTGCTGCTCCTGTAGTCTTGGTTCTGCCGTTGGGAGGGGGGGTATAGGACCTCCAGGCTGGGGGGCTCTCTGGCTGGGTATCAGAGGCCAGTGTTGTGTTGGCTGTGGGGTGGGCTGTGGGTTGTGATGTTGGTGATGTTGGTGATCCGGTGGATTTGGTGGCCTGGTCGTCCTCTCTGACAGCCAGGGGTGGAAGCATGGTGGAGGTCTGGATGGTCTTGAAGGTCGAGGAGGTCCTGGCGGTCTGTGTGGGGTCTGCGTTGTGTGGTTACCCCTTGGAGTGGTAGTAAGGCTCCTTCCAAGGGCAACATCCTTCAGGGTCCCAGCAAGGGTGGGGACTGCATTTTCTGTGTAGGTGTACGTTATCATACAGGCAGTCCAGGTGGAGAGTCGGGTGGTGGGCCAAGAACACGTTGGGTTTGAGGGCACAGTTCCTGGAGAGGCTGATATTCACTCTGTGAATGGTGTGGGGGTGGAAGTCTCTCCTGTGCAGCAGTGTGGATATGATTATCTTGCTGGTAGGGAAATTGGTGGAAGCTTGCTCAATGACTCCCCTCAGAGAGTCTGCCAGTCTGTCCTGTTGGGACCTTAAGTCGTTGGTGCCTGTATGGATGATGATGTGGCTAGGTGAGCCTAGCTCAGGCACTGTTAACAGCTCCAGGGCTCTCCTGGTGTTGGGGCACTAGATCTTCTCCGTTCTGTGTCTTAGAAATAAGGTCTTTTTGTGGCGGGGGTTGCAAAATGTGGAGCTCTCAATGGGAATCTTAGGTTGCACGACAACGCCACCTTGGGAATTGCACCCAAGGAATTATTTTACACTGATCAAAAACACAGGTTCGTTCCACTCGACAGGCAAGACACGTGATTCCCAGTTTACAAAAATACTTTATTTAATTAATATATATATCGTTATAAAAAAATAGCATTCATCCCAATAAATGAAAAAGGGAGCCTAATCAGGGGCTGAGGCCTACTGGTGGGGAAAGAGCAGGCGAAGGGAAAGGGGACTCAACAAAATTAAATTAAAGTAAAAGGGTTCACCCAGACACACGTGGCAGTCACACACTGTGGTATCACCAAATCCAAGGAAGCACAGCACACAAGAAGGAGGGACACCACCACCCACGTCACCAGCACCACCACCAGCCTGCAGCCACTGAGAAGGGAAAACAAAAGTTACAATGGAAGTAATTAACACAAAATATAAATAATAATATAATAAAAACAATATACAACATAAAACAGGAAATAGTTAACCAAATAAGCTTACCAAGCAAGTTAATCAAAACAATAAAGTATAACAAAACAAAACAAGTTATACTAAACTAAGGGATTAACTCCTCACCATCGTTCAGCTAAAATAAAAAGGGATAAACAGATTGAAAGTATGGTGTCTGCAGTTCACCATGCAAGCCGGCCGTAGCCAGAAGCCACCAAGCAGCCAGAGCCGCAGAACAAGGCAGCAAGGAATAAGTGACTGCAGAGGCAAAGCAGGGGACAATGTCACATACAGCAGCAGAGACACAGCTATGCAGCTAGCAGTAGGGGCACAACAGCAGACATATAGTCGACAAAGCGGTATAAACAACACAGCAACCGTGTGTTTAACGGCAGAGGCAAAGCTGTGCGGACAAAGCAATGTAGATAAATCAGTGTAGACAAAGCATAGACAAAACACCGACAAAGCAGCGACAAGGCAGAGACAAAACAGAGACAAAACAGCAGCGGTCCCAATCAGCTGGTGGTGAAGGCACGTCAATCAACACCTGTAGATTTCGGCCAGCTGACGAGCATTCCCTGTCAATAAACATACAATTAGCATAGCTAAACTATATTAATCAAAGCTTTTGAGAGTTAGATTTAAGGTAGCATACCTGTATTCAAAGTCAAACCTGCACAGGGAGAGGGAGGGAGAGAGAGACCCACACGGCAGCGGACATCTACCTGTGACCACATTAGCGTTAGCTACAGGATAGCATTCAGTGTAACACAGAGAGAGAGGACACTTCCCACCGCCAGAGAGAACCAAGGTCTAAACGGAGCATGGAGCACAAAGCACGGGGCACTCGGTCGCTGCTCTGCAGTGAAAACACGCAGGCTTTAAGCAACAGGACACAGTAAGAGATGAAACAAAGCAGTAGCCGCAGCAGTGGCATGGAGCATTACCTGCACAGGCAAACACCTGACCCGGAAATGATGCGTTAGTGAGCGCGCGAGAAGGAGGGCCGTACTTATATACTGCCGCCCTAGTGGTCAGCAGGCGCAATTAACTGCCGCATGACAGCCCTATGTCTATGCTGCTACATTCTACCCCGCCTCCTTGGATCGTCGTCCCGACGATCAACAAAGTAAGGCTAGTACAACAAGCTAACTCCAAGGTCTAAACAAGGCAGAGACTGAGTTGGACACAGAAGCAGGAGGATTAGCAGCACAAGCATCTCCAGCAGACCGTGGGAAATGATGCACATTTGAATGCTGACCAGCCATTTGACGTGTGGTCCGGCGTGGGCCCGTGTTACTGGAATCAGGACAAGTGACAGATGGAAGGACTAGAGATGTTAATGCTGCCGACGCTGCTGCAGGCACTTGAGACACAGCTGATCTGGTGGAGGGCATGGCAGAAGTGGCCACATAAGATGGTTGATCTAAGATCAACAAATCATACTCAAATGAAGGCTCCTCTGCTGGGGGTGATTCCTCCCCAGAGGTCGAGTTATGAGAAGTGGCATGACCAGGTGAGTCCACCATTACAACAGCCTTCAGCATAGTGCGGTGGACCTGTCTGACTTTGGTCTCGTTGTTCATTGGCGCAATAGTATACACCGCGCCGCCTTCTTTAGGCATTCTCAACACACGATACTTCACTCCACCGATCCCGGATCTTCTGGGGCCCCCTAGCACTTAAGTCACGCAAATACACGAGCTGCCCTTCCTGCAATGGCAAATCTCTGACATGCTGATCGTGAACTCGCTTCCGCCGATCAGCAGCATGTTTCAAGCGCTCTCGTGCTCCTTCAAATGCTACATGCAAACGGGCTTGGTGCTCTTGAACCCACTCATGGATAGCGCCACCGACAGGACTCTCAACTCGACCCAACAAGAAATCAATGGGCAGTCTGGGTTCCTGCCCGAACATCAGGAAAAAGGGTGACTCTCCGGTTGACTGGTGGGGAGTTGTGTTATAACAATACAACACCTGAGGCAGACACACATGCCAATCCCTTTTCCGGGACACTGGCAAGGTACGCAGCAAGTTGTGGAGCGTCCAGTTAAAACGCTCGCACTGACCATTTCCTTCCGGATGGTATGGGGTAGTGCATGATTTTACAATCCCATACAGGTGACACAACTGCTGAATGAGGGTGCTTTCAAAGTTACAGCCCTGGTCAGAATGCAAACGAGCAGGGACGCCAAACTTATAAAACAACTCCGACACCAAAACCCTGGCCACAGTAGCAGCACGCTGATCCGAGTAGGGATAGCCACACTGTACTTACTAAAAACATCTGTAAGCACCAAAACATTCTCTAAACCATTCTGGGCTGGTTCTAGAGTCGTGTAATCGATGGCAAGGATTTCATTAGGGCGGGAAGCCAAAAGATGCCCCATAAAGCTATGTGCTTTTGGATGCACATCTTTGGCCACTTGACACCGCTCACATCTCTGACACCATTGAGCCACCTCGGAAGACATACCAGGCCAATAGCATCGGGACCGAAGGAGCGCCAATGTTCGCTCCACCCCCGGTGACCATGCTCCTGGTGCACCTGGGTCAGAACCTGATCTATCCATGTTTTTGGCAACAACAACTGAAACATGGCTTCGGCTCCATCAGGACAACACACCCTTCGGTACAGGACACCGTCCCTCTCCAGTAGGCGATCCCACTGCCTGAGCAACACCAGCGTGGGCTGGGAGAGCCGTGCCCGCTCCTCACAACTGGGACGATGGTTCTCCCTCCAAAAAGGCAACAGTTCTTGTATCACAGGGTCAGACTGCTGAGCGAGATGGAGTTCAGAACAAGTGTGCTGGGGCAAGGCGGCAGTGGCAGCCTGAGTCGCCTCTGCCTTTCCCAACCCCAGAGCTTGCTGCAAAGAATTGGGCATCACAGTGCCTGGAAGCATCACAGCGACATCCTGGGGACCAGGTGGATGCTGACGGGAGAGAGCATCTGCATTAGTGTTGCTCTTCCCTGATCGGTAATTTATCTCGAAGTCAAAAGAAGCTAACTGGGCGGCCCACCTCTGCTCAGTAGCAGCCAGCTTAGCCGAAGACAAATGACTAAGGGGGTTGTTATCAGTGTACACCACACATTTGTTACCCAACAAGTACTCTCGAAATTTCTCTGTCATGGCCCACTTAAGGGCCAAAAACTCGAGTTTCATGGAGCTGTAGTTTACCATGTTCCTCTCGGTGAGTCGCAGACCCCTGCTAGCATAGGCTATAGGCCTCACCTTGCCTGCCTGAGCCTGGGAAAGGACTGCACCCAAGCCACCATGGCTTGCATCAACTTCCAAGATGAAGGGAAGAGAAAAGTCTGCATAAGCCAACACTGGTGCCATGGTGAGCTTAGCTTTCAGTGTTTCAAAGCTCTGGTTACACTCATCATTCCAACACCTAGACAGCCGCTGCTCAGTCTTCTTGTTGGTCTTAGTGCCACCACATTCGGCCACCACCCTATGCAGAGGAGCTGCCAGTTTGGCAAATCCTTCCAGGAAGCACCGATAGTAACTGGCAAAACCAAGAAAGGAACGAAGCTCTGAGGCAGTAGTAGGAATCGGCCAATTGGCAACCACTTCAATCTTGCCTGGATCTGTGGAGACACCGTCGGCCGAAATCACATGGCCCAAATAATTCACCTCTTTGCGAAAGAATGAGCACTTGCTGAGCTTGGCCTTGAGGCCCTCATGCCGCAGTCTTGCCAGCACCACCTGGAGCCTCTCCACATGCTGTTCCACAGTAGAGGAAAACACAACAATATCATCCAGATATAACAGCAAGGACTGACACTGCTGGTCACCAAAGATGCGTTGCATTAATCTCTGGAAAGTGTTGGGCGCGTTACAGAGCCCAAAAGGCATTCTGTTCCATTCAAACAAACCAAAAGGGGTGCAAAAAGCAGTCTTCGGCCGGTCAGCCTCAGTGACTGGCACCTGGTTATAACCACTGGTCAAGTCCAGGGTTGAGAACCAGCAAGCACCAGACAATGCATCCAACGACTCCTCTATACGTGGCAGAGGAAAGGCATCTCTTCGGGTCTTACTATTGAGCAGCCTATAGTCAACACACATGCGCATGCTGCCATCTTTCTTTCGTACCAACACGATAGGGGACGCATAGGGGCTGCTACTCTCACGAATGATTTGAGATGAGAGTAGACGATTGATGTGCTCCTTCACAACCTCATACTCTGAGGGTGGGATGCGCCTATGGCGCTGCCTCACTGGAGTATCGTCTACCAAAGGGATGTCATGGGAGATTAGATTTGTACAGCCCAGATCAGTGTCATCGATGGAAAAGACTGAGGAATATTGTTGAAGCAGGGACTTCACTGGACCCTGTTCCTCCACAGACAAAGGTGACAAATCCACACTCTCCACCTGCTGCACACTAGGGGAAGCGGTCTGAGAAGACACGGTGGCCACACCCGATGGCACCTCAGTGACCGCGGAAGGAAGGCTGACCACATTCACAAAATCCAGTGTGCCGACAACAGTGCGGGGGTACAAAACAACATCATTACAGCCAACATTAATGACAGGTATGTAGGCGGTGCCCCTGATGACACGAACCAAAGAAGGGGAAGCAAGCAACCCAGCAGGTAAACCAGCCTCTAAAGGCTCGAACAGCACCGTAGACCCGGAGTACTGCTCAGAACATGTGGCTGCCACGATTTTCATTACCCCACCAGGAATCTGCCAACCCCTCTTACCCCTGACCTTCACTTTCCCGGGAACATCCTGGGACGCGACATCGCTAACACGATGACACTGTGTTAGTGCCTGCACAACTGGCTCAGGGGCCTTTGAGATACAGACCTGGGAAAACAACGTTCCCCATACTGGCCAAAAAGTTCCTGGTAGCACTTGCGGATCACATTCATCCCCAAAATACCCGGCACTTTAGAAGGCACCCCACCAGGTGGGTCCCTCACTACCAACACACCACAGTGGGGCATCAGTTTACCACAAAGTTGCACGTCAAGCTCCAAGTACCCAAGGTAAGGAATAGTCAGACCGTTGGCAGCTCTAAGCTCCAACCAGTGACAAGAACGGAGATGCTCCTGGCCCCAAGGCTCGAGATGCTGGCGGAAAAAGCTCTCAGAAATAGTAGACACCATGGAGACGGTGTCTACCAGACAAGGAACCTTCACTCCACCCATGTCCACATCTAAATGGGGACACGACGAAATCAATCCAGACGCATCCAAATCGCGTGAAGCAGCTTGTGAGCCAGTAGCAGCCCCACCCAAACTGTGACTCTGTAGTTTGGTGGGTACTAGTTTTCCGACCCAGAAGCAAAACGAGACTGCCTACCAGGATTAGATGGGGGCTGTGAATGGGATTGTGAGCGAGGAGCATGCACTCTACACTCCCTCGCAAAATGGCCAGGCTGATTGCAGCGCCTGCATAGCATTGGGCCAGTACAAGGTGGGTGACTGTGCTGATGAGAGACCTGCAGCCGAGCAATGCTTTCAGTGAGCTTATTAAGCTGCTCTTGCTGACGCTGTAGCATCTCCCTCATCCCACCCATCTCTGACACGGGGGGGAAGAAACAACGCCCTGCGGGTTACCTTGAACACCATACTGAACACCAAACACTAAGGGGACTGAATGACTGCGGCCCCTCACACCGCTGGGTAGACCTTCAAGCTCCCACTGAATCGCCTCTGCTCTAACAGCAAGCAGGGTGTAATTGGGCTGTCTACGCACTAACTGCTTCAGCTCACAATGCAGGGAACTGTCCAGCACATGCTCAACAAATTGGTCTCTCAAAAGAGCTTCTGCATTTGGCACTTCGGTAGGTGCACGCTGCTTCACCTTCTCCATGAGGCCCATCAAAGCGAGGGAGAACTCCTGAAGAGTCTCTCCCTCCTGCTGCCTTCTGGAGAAGAAAGCCTTCTGCAGAGCAACATAAGACTCCGAGCACCCGTACAGCTCCTGTAAAATAGCCAATACTCCATCAGGGTCCTCTCTCTCTGTGCTAGGGCGATACTTTAGCTCCTCCCTAGCTTCACCCTCTAGGTGGTCAAACAGGAAAAATGCCTGTTCAGACCGGGATAAACGCCAGGACCTCATACACGCCTGTATTTCCTCCCTCCACTCACTCAACCCCATACCCGTCCTTCCCCTAAAAACAGGACACTTTCTATCACAGGGCACAAACACCAGCCTCTCTGTTACAGGGACACTGGAAGTAGAAGGGGCAGTAGGTGGCACAAAAGAGGTGGACGGTAAGGCACTAGAGCCAGCCTGTTCCTGTCGTAACCGCTCATTATCAGCCTTTAACTGTTTAATCAGATCTCTAAGTTCCTGTAACTCTTCCTCCGTAGCTACAATAAAACTCAAACTACTACCTAGGCCTAATCTGCTACAGAGGGGACCGTGCCTTTGCTGTGTCTGCTCCTAAATTATGGAATGATCTGCCTCTGCACATTAAACAGGCCTCTTCTCTGTCTGTTTTTAAAACCGGTCTTAAAACCCATCTCTTCTCTGTGGCCTTTGACACCTAGTAAGATGTCGACTTTATTTACTTGATTTATTTTTTGTATTTGTTATTTTTACTTTTTGATTGCTTGTTATTGCATGGTTATTATTTTTATTTATGTCTTTTCATTTTATTGTTGTATTATATGTTATTTTGCGCCTCATGTGAGCTGTTATGTCTTTTATTTATGATGTCTTATTTATTCTCCTGTACAGCACTTTGGTCAAATTTGGTTGTTTTAAAGTGCTTAACAAATAAAGTTGGATTGGATTGGATGGATACCAAATCTCACCAAAACTGACACGAAGGTCCACTGGAAACCACTGCTGCTTTGTCTCTTTAAATTCTCGCCGATGCCTACAAGAAAAACAACATTAGTACACCAGAGAAAGAAAACACAAGAAAAAAAATAAAACCCACAAGGAACACACGTCTTTGCCTGTTGGAAGAGTAGATCCTGCCGACAACGCCAGATTGTGGCGGGGGTTGCAAAATGTGGAGCTCTCAATGGGAATCTTAGGTTGCACGACAACGCCACCTTGGGAATTGCACCCAAGGAATTATTTTACACTGATCAAAAACACAGGTTCGTTCCACTCGACAGGCAAGACACGTGATTCCCAGTTTACAAAAATACTGTATTTAATAAATATATATATCGTTATAAAAAAATAGCATTCATCCCAATAAATGAAAAAGGGAGCCTAATCAGGGGCTGAGGCCTACTGGTGGGGAAAGAGCAGGCGAAGGGAAAGGGGACTCAACAAAATTAAATTAAAGAAAAAGGGTTCACCCAGACACACGTGGCAGTCACACACTGTGGTATCACCAAATCCAAGGAAGCACAGCACACAAGAAGGAGGGACACCACCACCCACGTCACCAGCACCACCACCAGCCTGCAGCCACTGAGAAGGGAAAACAAAAGTTACAATGGAAGTAATTAACACAAAATATAAATAATAATATAATAAAAACAATATACAACATAAAACAGGAAATAGTTAACCAAATAAGCTTACCAAGCAAGTTAATCAAAACAATAAAGTATAACAAAACAAAACAAGTTATACTAAACTAAGGGATTAACTCCTCACCATCGTTGAGCTAAAATAAAAAGGGATAAACAGATTGAAAGTATGGTGTCTGCAGTTCACCATGCAAGCCGGCCGTAGCCAGAAGCCACCAAGCAGCCAGAGCCGCAGAACAAGGCAGCAAGGAATAAGTGACTGCAGAGGCAAAGCAGGGGACAATGTCACATACAGCAGCAGAGACACAGCTATGCAGCTAGCAGTAGGGGCACAACAGCAGACATATAGTCGACAAAGCGGTATAAACAACACAGCAACCGTGTGTTTAACGGCAGAGGCAAAGCTGTGCGGACAAAGCAATGTAGATAAATCAGTGTAGACAAAGCATAGACAAAACACCAACAAAGCAGCGACAAGGCAGAGACAAAACAGAGACAAAACAGCAGCGGTCCCAATCAGCTGGTGGTGAAGGCACGTCAATCAACACCTGTAGATTTCGGCCAGCTGACGAGCATTCCCTGTCAATAAACATACAATTAGCATAGCTAAACTACATTAATCAAAGCTTTTGAGAGTTAGATTTAAGGTAGCATACCTGTATTCAAAGTCAAACCTGCACAGGGAGAGGGAGGGAGAGAGAGACCCACACGGCAGCGGACATTTACCTGTGACCACACTAGCATTAGCTACAGGATAGCATTCGGTGTAACACAGAGAGAGAGGACACTTCCCACCGCCAGAGAGAACCAAGGTCTAAACGGAGCATGGAGCACAAAGCACGGGGCACTCGGTCGCTGCTCTGCAGTGAAAACACGCAGGCTTTAAGCAACAGGACACAGTAACAGGTGAAACAAAGCAGTAGCCGCAGCAGTGGCATGGAGCATTACCTGCACCTGACCCGGAAATGATGCGTTAGTGAGCGCGCGAGAAGGAGGGCCGTACTTATATACTGCCGCCCTAGTGGTCAGCAGGCGCAATTAACTGCCGCATGACAGCCCTATGTCTATGCTGC